ATCTATCATTAAAAAGAATAATCCTTCGAATATTGACCGAAGCAGATTTGGAACTTTTGGAATAAAATGTAAGTGTGTCAAGCTCAACTTTGACTACAACTGAACTACTTTCCCGCCTTTGCTCTTTCAGCAAATTATTGTGTAGCAAAGTATAGGATGAATTCACTTTAATCCTAGAGCAAGTGTTCCATGATGTTAACCCCCTGAAAAATTCTCTTTTGTTAAATTTTGACTTTTAAAAACGTCAAACACTACCTAAAATTCAAAACAAATAGCATAACAACAGAAAACATTCTTGAGATAATGTTTTCATACTGACTGCAAATTAAAGAGCATCTCTTTTAGGCTCGTCAGATAGCGCGGCATTCCAGTGATTACAAGCAGTTACCAATCAATCGCAAATGGGCAGAGATGGCCAGAAAGCCGTTGAAAGGAAAAGATCCAAGTTCACTGATATGGCATACACCCGAGGGCATAAATATCAAGCCATTGTACCTTAAAGAAGATAGACAGTGTGATGTTGGGAAGCCCGACGAGGTGGATGTAGAGCACTTTTTGCCTAATTATTGACTATTCAACTAGATTGTTGTCGAAAAATTTTGATTTTTAGATGCCTGGTAGTTTTCCTTTCACGCGTGGGCCTTACCCAACGATGTATACTCAACGACCATGGACCATCAGACAGTACGCTGGTTTCTCCACTGTAAAAGAGTCAAACGCTTTCTACAAGGAAAACATCAAAGCGGGGCAGCAAGGCCTCTCTGTAGCATTTGATCTCGCCACTCATAGAGGGTATCTTCTCTATCAATTTTTAGAAACATAATGTCCAGCTCCTTGTTTTAGGTATGATTCGGACAATCCACGTGTGGTAGGTGATGTTGGAATGGCGGGAGTTGCTGTGGATACAGTAGAAGATATGAAAGAAGTATGGCTGAAACTAATGTTTTTAGATGTAAGACAGCTGAATTTGGCTGTCCATATAGTTTATTATCAACAAGAACTAAATCTGGTGTATTAAAATATGATATAAAAGAGGCATTTCCTTTCAGCTTTTCGATGGGATTGACCTATCAAAAATGAGTGTTTCAATGACGATGAATGGAGCCGTGAT